CCTAGAGCACATCCCAGAGGTCAGTTAGCTCTGTTCCTTGCGGTCCCTTCTTTCTCTTTCCACAGGGCTGAGGCCTGGGTCAGCTCAGATGTCGCCACCTCTGAGAAGCCTTCCTGACCTTTCTGCAAAGTTAGTACAGAATAAACTAAAGGAGGTGGCTTGGTGCAATGGACAGGACATAGGGCAAGAATCAGCAGACCTGGGCTCAACATCAGTCTGCACTTCCGGATCTGGGGCTCAGTGTAACCTGAATTCTGACTTTTTACAACTTTCTAACTTGGTGCAAATTATTGTCTAGGTCTCAGTTTCCTGATCTACAAGATAGAGATCATGGTGGTGATGGTGACACAGGAAGAGGATGAGAATGACAAAAGTCACCTGGGAGGATTGTTAGGTGGATCAAATGATAAAATGAGCTAATCTACATGAGGAGCTCAATCCATGACAAGTGCTCAAAAGTGTCGTCTATTATTAGCATAAGCTTTAAGAGCCCGGGTGAGGACATTGTTCCTCAGGCCCTGGCCATGTGACGAGCTGACAGTAGTGGCCATAGGAAGGATACCTGCCTGTCTCAAGGAAGGAGCCTGCTGTGCTGTTTTGAGTTTCAGCTCACAGAGAACCTAACCAGGCCCCAAGTCAGTCCCCCAAGCTGCCAAACTCCAAGCAGGCTCAGTCAAGCATGTGGCATAACCAGAGGACAGACCCTGTGGCCAGGCAGGCCTGCGCCCTGAGACCCTAAAACACCTGTGTCCGTTATGATGCTGAAAAAGACAACACCATGCACAAGGACCACTAAGTAGAAAACAGGTCTGGTCTCACCACAAAAGGGGAACACAAATGAGCTTTATTAAGCCATACATTCTGAGACGCTTCTGTGTGGTAGGCACTGACCCAAGATCGTGGGAAACGGAGTGAGAACAGAGATTCTTGCCCATGTAGTGCTTACAGTCTTGTGGGAAGACAGATGATAAACAAAATCACAGAATGATCAAGTCACTAGCACAATGTGTCAGCACATAAGCTCTAAGGTCAGAGATGCTAAGGAGAAAGCAGAGCACGGGAAGGGAATGAGGAGGAGAGGGCAAAGGCAGGGCACCATGTGGAGGGAGGTGGTCAGGGAGCCTCCCTGAGAAGTGGACTTTGAGCAAAGTGTTGAAGAGATGACTTGTAGCAGTCTGAATCAGGAGGCAGGAAGGTGCTGGACACAATCAAAAGACAGTAGGAAGGCCAGCGGGGCTGGACTGGGGTTCTTGCCAGGACCAGCAATGCCCACTGACTGAGAATAATTGTTCTAAGTAAAGAGTGTTCCTTTGGCATTTTGAGAGCCACACATTCTAAGTGAGAAAAAGTAATAGCACAGGCGTCTCAGGTTTCAATGGGGGACGTTGGAATATTAGCAAAGACATAATGACACATCTTGGGGAAGGGAGCCAGATCTAAACACGAAATTCACTGGTGTTCCATGCACAGCTTACACGTGTAGTCTGGGGTAACTTTTAACAGTAACACAGGTGCACCTGTGTTTTGACTGTGAGCTGTCAAATGAGGCAAGCTGCAGAGTTTTCCACTGGGGGCGTTAAACGAGTGCAAAAAATTTTCAATTTTGGATATTTCAGATTTCACATTTTTGGATTAGAGATGCTCAAGCCAAGCTAGTAACTACCTCCCCAAAGTGCTCAAAGAGCAGGGTTTCTGCATGAGGTAGAGAAGCTTTCTGAGGACATACAAGTTTTATCCAGGAAGCTACAAACTGGCTGTTTACCCATCAGCCCAAAGCAGTAACAGGCCTCAGCTTCCACATCTAGGTACATTTCCAGAAAACAGAAGTGAGAGTCAGATCTTCAAAGTTTAAAAGCCGGGCTTGCTCTTTGCCTTCTTGCAGATGCAGTGTTTCACAGGCATCTTTTCCAAAAACAAACCTGATTCACTGGTCTGGAAAATCTACTGAGGCGGGCACCCTCCACCTCAATGGTCTCACCGATGCCCCTGGAAACTCCCGGGCAGTGCTGCCATCAGCATGGCAGCCTCCACCCCGTTTGATGTTGGGCTGATACCAATGGGCCTTGAACCTGGAGAGCCATCCTCAGCTTGGTGCAAAAGTTTCACGGATGCCACTTGCCCCTGCTCAGCGTTTAATCTCCTAGTGTGACTGGCATCCGCACGGTTGGCCAGGAGCACATAAAGCCTTCATCCATTTCTCCAGGTGTCTCACCTTGTTTCTGACCTTGCCAGGCTGCACAGGCCTAGGCCAGCCCCTTCCCACACCCAGCGACTTATCCTTTCCCCCTCAGAGTGGTCCTCACTGTCACAAGATGCACCCCGTAGGGAAGCAGTGAGACACTGGTCCCTTTCCCTCCACTTTCCATCCTCGTAATTACCTCCACTTAGGGACCTACTATAACAGCTCTCCCAAAACTTAGAGCACTTGCTGCTTTTATATTTCCCAAGCACAAAGGAGTTGATACAGTGGCCATAAACTGAGTGCAAATCCAGCAAACTCATGATTAACAAACCACAGGTGGACAAGCCCTAAAAGACCTACAAGGGCATGGCTTCCTACTGGCACGTGGCTTTATTCACATCTACAAGAGTGGAAATAGAACACAGCCAGGCAGAGGAGCTTTTAGTGGCTGTTTCCTAAATGCAACTGGCTGCTAACCCTTCCTGCTCAGCTCCTTCTAGCATTTACTCTCTGCTCAGGAGTCCATAGCTAAAAGGCCCCCAGAGCTGGGAAACTGGAGGACCAAGCTGGGCTGTCCCAGCTCCAGGTACTGCCGCCTCATCCATCTCACCTGGCTCTTGTTTGTTCTTTGAGATTTTTCTTCTTTCTTCTCTTTATCCCCCTTTTTCTTCCTCCTAAGTCACTTCCTTAGAGGGCCACTTGCCCCAACAGCTGGTCTTCAGCTTTGAGTCAGATCTAAAACCCCAAGAAAGCCTGCCCCTCTGAACCAAGGCTGTGGGCTGCTTGTCATCAGCAGCCATGGCACTCTCTTTCTTGATGAGTCTGTTCCTCTAGGAGAGCCTGTGAGTCTGCTGCATCCCCTACCCTCTCCCGTCTCCCACCTGCACATCGAGCTGTGGCCCTCCTGGCTTCTCTGCCCATGGAATTATTGCATGCCATTACTTATCCATGCCACATTGGATGACTGCTTGTGCCAAATACTCTGGAAAGCACCTAGGGCATGCGTGAGGTCAGTATAGACATGAGCCTGTCCTCAGGGAGCATGTGCTTTAATGGGGAAATGCTCCCCATGGCAATTTTGGTGCAGTGTTATGCAGTAAACCCAGGGTGCCCCAGGGGTATGCAAAACATCCTAAGTGGTCTCCAGAAGGTTCTCAGTAGACATGAAAGCTGAGCTAGAACCTGAAGATTGGTCACTAACCAAAGGAATAGATCAGGTAGAAACCAGAGACCTAGACCAGCACAGTCAGAGGGACTTAATTGTCAGGGTCTGGAGGATAAGAAAAGAGCTCAGAGGCACTGCAGGAGGTTCTGAGTGGATAGTGTAATGTGAGGAGGAGATGTGGTTGGAGAAAAGGTATGGATCGTGTCCCTAAAAGCCTGTACCAAGTGCTTTAGAGGTTCCATTCCCTCCACCCCATCAGGGCGTGGGGTTTTCAGAGATCGATGGCAGAATCACAGAGGGTTAAGTCAGGCACCTACCACAGCTTCTCATTTTGCACAAAGGGGCCCAACCTCAGAGGGAAGCAGCTTGCCTGGGACCACTCCACAGAACAAGGCAGAACCCTGGTCTGAAACATTGTCCACTGCTCACTCACTGCTCATCTGAAGATGCACTATGGAACAGGCTCATGGCCACCTGCAGCTGCCCTGGAGAGAGGAGACAGTGCCCCACCTACTTCCCCAGGGGCTCCAGTCCTACTTGGCACTGCACCACCATGGGACAGCTCTCAGTTGGTGTTTGAGGAGTGCTCCCCAGTGAGCCCTGTGCTCCTGCTCATCAGGAGAGGGTCTGCTCCTGCAGCCTGAGCTTTCTCTGTATCTCAGCTGCTGGGTCATAATTGTGCCCAGGGCCCAGAATCCACCCTCCATCTGTGTCAGTGAGCCCATCTGGGCAACCTAGGGCTCAGCCTTCAGGACAGCTCGAGGTTCAGATCCAGCCAGGGCTGGGGAATTAGGCTTTGTACGGCATTTCCTGTCATTGCTTCCTTAATTATATGGGATGATTAGTTTCACGATAATAAGTAAAGGCCTCGGAGGGGATAAAGAGTGGTGTATAGATACACAGGATAGAAGCCGTCACCTCTGAAGCAGGAAAGGCTGCCCCAAATCCCAGGCCAATTTTCCCAGATGCTTTGAGCCCTGGAGCTTCTCCCAGACCTCATGCAAGTTGCTGGGAGCTACATTTTATGGCATCCTATAAAGAGGCAGGGACAGAAGCACAGCTGGGAATGTTGCCCTCTCCGAGTCTTATAGGGTTCTTGAAGGGGCAAGGGCTGGATTCTAATTCTGGCTTTCTCATTACTCTCACTGATTATTGATATTTGTCCAATATACTGATATGCACTCAATTGAGAAGGTGGATTTGAAAACACCGATATACCATATAATGAGAACATGAGAGCAGAGAAAAGACCACGGTAGCAACAGGTCTTAGACATCACTTCGCCTCCCGGATTCAGTGGAGATGAAAGTCCTTATGGCTCCATTATCCTGTCTAAATGAGATGCTGTAACTAAAATGCCAGTGTTCAGTTGGGCATGGTGGTACACGCTTGTAATCCCAGCACTCTGGGTAACTGAGGTAGCAGAATCACTAGTTTGAGCCCAGCCTTGGCAATTTAGCAAGACCCTACCTCAAAATAAAAACTAAAATCAAATAAAAGAGGGCTTGGAGTACAGTACAATGGCTCAGTACAATGATCCTGGGTTCAACCCCTAATAGTGTAAGCAAAAATTGCCAGTATTGTGCCTGACACAAAGGTAAACACTTGTCTCAGTCCATTTTCTGCTGCTATAACAGAATACCACAGACTAAGTCAGTTATAAACATTAAAGGTTTATTTGGTTCACAGTTCCAGGGCTGGGAAGTCCAAGATGGAGGGTCACATCTGGTGAAGGCCTTCCTGCTATTACAGCTTGATGGAAGGCACCATGTGGGGACAGAAGGGGGAGAGGAGGCTGAATTCTCTCCTGCTGCCAAGTAACAGCCTTAATCCATCCACGAGGGTGGTATCTACTCACCTCTGATTTCAACAGGAGTTTTGAGTCAAACCACACCCGTGTGGCCCTGGTCAGAGGTCCACCTCAGCTCCTCCCTCCTTGTTCTGCTCTGCCCTCCCAGCAGCCAGATTCCCTCGAGAAGCCCACTGCAGAAGCTCTGGGCATGGTCCCGGCCTTTGCCCTCTGGCTTCTCCCCCTTGCCCAGACCCCAGCTCACGGCCCCGCCCTTGCTGGGTCCCTAAGCTGATTCACCCCCTGCCAACCTCACATCCCTGCACCTGAACCTGGACGTGGCCCTGACTTTTGTCCCGCCCAGCACCTGACTCTTCTTTCTCAGGTGGCCAGGCCTTCCCCCCAGGATGTGTGCAATCCGCGGAGTGCCTCCTCCTGATTCCACATCTCTGCAGGTGCCCACCCAGCTCGCAGGTGCTGACAGCAGGGTCTCAGTTTGCCCACGTCCAGAGCTCACTGTTCCTTCTGTGGGGGCACGAGCTGAACCCGACTACCCAGCCTCCTCTTTTCTGCTTGTGTCCTTCCCTGTGACCCACCTAACCAGCACCATCTGGTTAGGTGCTGGGGGCTGTTTGGGGGCTGTTCCATGTGCATAGAATGTTTAGCTGTATCCATGACATCTACCCACTAGATGCCAGCAACAACCACCACCCTCCCCATGCGCACACTGTCATGACAACCCAAAATGTCTCCTGAGGGTCTCACATGTCCCCTGGGACTCAAATCACAGCCGGTTGAGGACCTCAGCCCTAGATCTGCAGTCTGTCTTGGCCCTGAGGCCCCCTGATTTCTTCCCACTATCCTGCACATTTTGTCTCTCCTCACATCCCTTGGCCTGATTTTGCCATACACGCACAGACCTGCACATACCACAAGGCGCTACAGCCTAAATTGGACCCAGAACATCTCTGACCTGAGCCATTGTTCTTTCTTCTGGCTGCCCAAAGCCAGTACAGCTCAGGATGGAGACAGAACATGCAAATTGCACACAGCGGAATGCTTTGCCAGTGCCTGGGGCCTCTCTCTTGTTTTCTGCTCAGATGAAAGGGAGGAAGAGGGGCTGGGGCTTGAGCGCGGCAGGCAGGGGATCCTGGGAAGCTGCAGCTTGGCTCACTCTGCAGCCTCCACTGCAGCCACCTCTTCTGGAGGAAGTGGAGAGTGGGCTGGGAACTGGGGCGCGCCATGCTCTACAAGGGCACAGAGGCAGGCAGTGGGGCAGAGTGCTCTCTCCGGGACAGTAGGGGTTCTGATGCCCTTGTCCATTCTGGGGAAGCAGCCTGAACTTCTAATCCTGGGTGGCTCTTTCTGAATCTAGTCAGAGCCTCTCCTGCCAAACGCTAGCTCTATGCCTGCTTCCTACAAGTTGCCACACAGCTGCTCATTAGCCACGCTTGACTCTTACTATGAAAAGCTTAAGCGAACTCACGTCCACTGGAAAGATCCATTGTTCAAGGTCTAGTCCAACTTCTAATGTCCCTGGTCCTTTCAGGACTGAACCTTTCCTGTATCTATCACCAGGAGGGACACTTCTCCACTCTTACTGGGGCAATGCCCCCACATCATCTCTTCACTAGTACCCACTTTCCCCAGACCACTGTAATCTTGGAGAAAAGAGGGAGCACCCAGAAGACATAGGCACATGAGCCATGGAGTTCTAGGCAGGTAACAACCAAAGGCTTCCAACCTTCCCCTGGGCGTGGACATTCAGACAGGACAAGCTGACATCTCCAAGCCCTCGAGCCTCATGTGGAGGTCAAGGCAAAGGCTGTACCTCTCTCTGGCTGTCAGTGTTCGTATAGCCACACAGATGATGTGGCAAAGGCATCAGACCCGGTCACTCACAGAACCTTGGAGTCTGCAGGATTTCATGAAAGTCCTCCCCATAGTTGGCGTCTTCAGCTTTCTCACGGCCCCTCTGCTGCTGCCAGGCCAGCTAAGTCAGTGAGAGAAACTGGCTGAGGTTTCCATGAGGGTAACTATGGGCCTGGAAAATACAAGGCCTGGTCTTCTCGTTGGCACTTTCTGGTTCCTAAGCACCCACAGCTTCATCCACCCCTGTAAAGTGCACACCATCAGAGCCCTTGGCAGCCTTCTCCTGACCTCAGAGGAGCTGAAGTTCCCTGTCTGGCCTTCAAACCCACCATCATCCAGCTCTCCAGCTCAACCACCTGGGCCAGCTATAGCCTCCAACTTACCCTCCAGCTCTAGCCACAGGGTTCACAGCCTTTATGTGCTCCATAGGGCTGAGGCTGCCTCCCCTCCCAGCTTCCTTCAGGGTCACAAAGCACTCTCCATGTGCCATGTCCCTGGGCTGATCAATCTAGAGTGATTGTCTCCCAGAATTCTCAGATCACATCTGTGAGACTGGAGTCTCACAAATTTCAAATTTTACAAATTTGAAAATGAGGGCATAGAAACTGACATCGGTTACACACAGCGAGGATGTGGCCACCCCAGACAGCCCAGCTGCAGGATCTCTTTCTCTCTCCTCCCCTCCTCCTCCTCCTTTTCTTTCTCCTCCCACCTGACCACTGCCCCTTTTTCTCCCCATGCACACTCCTCCTGCACACTTCACAGAGAGGGTGCTTTGTAAATCACATTGGCTTAGCTTTCTGTTACTGTGACAAAATACCTGAGAAGAGTAATTTACAAGAAGGGAAGGTCTATTTTGACTCATGCTTCCAGAAGTTTCGTTCTGTGGTTGGATGGACCCTTGTTTTTGAATCATGGTGGAGCAAATCATCACGGCAGGGAGCCCATGGTAAAGCAAAACTACTCACCTCATGGCGACCAGGAAGTGAAAGAGACAAACAGGAAGTGGCTGGGGTCCCAGTATCCTCTTCAAGGACACACTCCAGATGACCCAACTCTGTACCTCCTTAAGGTTCCACAACTCCCAAGAGTGCGTCAGGAAGTGCTAAGTATTGGAGACGACCCGAATTAACCAAAACCCTGTGCGCAACACGTCTTATTTTCTGGGTTTAGAGTTTTGCTCTGTTTTTGTTATAACGCCCATCTTGGTAGGTGTGAGATTGTACTCGCTGCAGCTGTGATTTTCATTTGCCTGGTGCTGAGCGATTTTCTTGTGCATATAGGCCGTCTGTCTGTCTTGGAGAACTATCCATTCAAGTCCTCTGCCCATTGCTTCTGTTTTGTTTTGATTTGAGGGTTTTTAAATACTTGTTGCTGTTATTAAGTGCTTATATATTCTAGATATGAATCCTTTATTAGATACATGATTTTCAAATATTTTCTCCCATTTCAAATATGCTTTTTGATTTGGTCGAGTATGTCTTTTGATGTTTAAAAGATTTTAATTTTGAAGTGGTCCATTTCATCAGTTGTTTCTTTTGTTGTCTGCGCTTTTAGGCCCATATTCAAGAAGCCACTGCCAAATCCAGCATCACAAAGCTTCTCCCCTGTTTTCTTCCAAGAGTTTTATCGTATACATTTCTGATAAATTGTGAAGATGTGTTCTTTTTGTTTGGAAAATGAAACCTGGAGGCCCTTCCCCATCCTCACTCCCCACCCACAAATCTTGCTCTTGTCACCCTGAACAGACAGTGCTGGGTACTTGGCTATTCCAAACAAAACTGGAAGAGAGAGAGAACAGGGTCACAGTAGACAAGTCACGCCTTCTTCAACCACTCACCTCCGGAGCCAGGCTGGGACAGTATGGAGCACACTGGGCTTTTGCTGACCAGATACTCGGGCTCGGTCCGGGTGAGCTCCCTGGTGATTAGCCAGTAAAAGACAGGGCCTGGAGCAATTTTTGTGGACACAGAAATTACTCTGGATTTGAAACTTAATGTCTCAAGCCCTGATTGGGTACTTCCAGCCTGTTACCTCCAGCAAGGCACTAAACCTGGCTGAACCTCCTGCCACAACTTCAAAATGATGACAGCAGTCACTTCTCTTCCTGTAAATGTTGCACAATTTTAAGTCGCTGTTGCATACATAAATGGTTTCATCTTCACAAGGGTCCTGTGAAGTAGACAGGGCAGTTTTATTCAGTCTGAATTTTCAAGATGAGAAAACAATTCCCCATAGAGGTTAAGTGACTTGCCCAAGGATGCTCAGCAGAAAGCCCTCTCTCTGACTTCCTAGCGCTGGAATCTTCTCCCGCCCCATCTTGGGGGAGATACAGGGTTGTATTAAATGAAGACCTCAAGAGGAAAGCACTTTAAACAAGTGAGTGTTGGATTTCTCAGCATCTGTGGAGATGGGCGATGGTTGTCTTTGATGCCTGGGAGATGGAAGGAATTGAGCACTGGGGCAGAGGTGAAGGCTCCTGCTGGCCTGTGAGCACCTGGGCATTCAGACAATGATCAGGGCAGGGAGGCAGCTCCAGTAGCCAGGCTTCCCGGCAGCCCATAGAGAGGTATCCCCAGGAAGAACTGCCATTGGCCTCATCCCAGGAGAGCGGCACTGCTGGGCTCAGGTCAGACACCTTAACCTGTAGGCTCCATCTCTGTCCCGAGCTCCTGCCTCTCTCCTCTCTCCCTCCTCCCGGGCTGCCCCACCACCACCACCACGCCCTCCCCCCAACTCCTCCTTCCCGCCTTGCCCCCTCCTTTCACAAGCATAATGAGTTTGATAAGAAATTGTCTTGTTAACAGGATTAGCCACGGAAATCTCTTGTCCCCGCCCATTCATTCTGTAATACTCCTCATCTCGTGTCCTGTAATTTTCTGCTAGTATCAGAGGCTCCAGACCACCTCGGGGATATTAATTCCAACTTATTCTTTGATCATGTGACTGCTGATCTGCTGGGAAGCCCTCCACAGACACCGGCCCCCAAGACCCTGTGGGTAAATCACACCAGGGCTTCACAGGGCCTCTCCTCTCCCGGGCCAGCCACTCCCCGGGTTTCTTCCAGTTCTGGAGACAGTTTTTGCCAAGGAGGCAGATATAAGCCAGACTCAGGTGGCAGAAGAGTGGAAAGGAAAATGGCCCAATCCAGTCCTTTGCTTTCCTTTTGACCAGCCCCACACAGACAGGATGCAACCAGAGGTGGTTTGGCATGGTGGGTGAGGAAGCCCACTCGCTCCCTAAATCTGTGATATAAAAACACCTTACCCAGGGTCACTGAGCCTCAATCTTCTTAACTGTGCGTTGGGGAAGACACTGTCTACCCGTCAGTGTTGTGGGAAAGCACATAACATCCAACACACAGCTCAGTCAGTGCTGTTTGAGGGCTAGAATTTTCCAGAGATAGGGAACACAGCTCTTGAATCTACTGAGAAGTGCTTGTTTGAACGCTCAGCTGTATCTGTGGACTTGCCTTGTGCCTCTGTCCTTGTCCTCTAAAATCTGTTTCCCTTCACACATTTTTAGGGATGGGTACAAAAGAAATTTTATGGCCCATTCAACTCAAAAAAAATTAATTAGAAAAAAATTCAGCATGTAGGGTGAATCCCGAGAACAGATGGCAGAAGATGAAAGGAAATACCTGTGCCATGTCACCAAATCCATGTCACCAGAGAAGAGAGGCAACCTGAGAAAGTAGCCAAGTCCAGAAGAGGCTTGGACCAAGCACAACAAGGTCTCTCCGGTCAGGTCAGCAGGACATTTTCAAGGAAATGGAGAAACCCAGGGGGCTGGGGCCTGGAGGAGGGAAGAGGTAGGAGGAAATTGCCGGTGTCAGAAGAGGTGAGGTCAGAGCTAAATCTAGGTTAATTTGGACACAGTTTTCTGATCAATTGTGCAGAAAGTGTCAGAGTAAGAGGTGAGAAATTGCACCTGTCTGGAGAATGAGCCCAAAATCCCAACTGTTGTGCTTTGCAGGGAGCCAGAGAGCTGTCACTACTTGGGGTAACAGGGGGATGGGGGCCACCTAGAGAGCTGGCAGCCGTGTCTCTACTTGGGAGCTGTGCGCACGTGGAGCATAGCAAGAGCTGCTGACTGTGCCCTTCCTGTGTGTCCAGCCCATGTGGAGCCTTTACCTCCGCTTCACAGGCAGTCCTGTGTCATGCTGGCCATCGTCAACATCCCAGGTCACTAAACAGACGTTGGACCTCTAGGCCAGGCAACCAAGGAGGGCGGGGTTGAAACACTTACCCTGAAGGAGCTGGTAAGGCCAGTAATCACTTGTGTGGCCTTGGGCATGCTCCTGGGTCTCCATGAGCCTGGGTTCCTTTTCCATTATTTCCCTGCTCACCTTTAAAAAAATGTTTAATCCACTATATGAGGCAAGCATATGGTGAAAACTGGATAAGAGACCCAGGATTAATTCGAAATATAGTTTTTATCTGAGGCTTCACTTTCTGTGCTTTTTACCTGCGGTCATCATCCTCATGGCTCGGGGATCCTGCTTCTACATAGCCTTAGGAGGTCAGCAGTGGCCTAAGGCGACTGCACAATGCCTGTGTCATTCCCGTCACCTCACCGCAGCTTTCGACATAGGCAGGCACTTTACCGGCTCGAATTCTGGCAGGAGACGGATGAACACGTCCAATAAGATATTTTGAGACAGAAACCACATTTACAAAACTGTTAGTACAGTATGTGGTTAAAACCGTATTGTTTTCATATCAGTTATTGTTGTTACGATATCAGTTAATTTATAAATTAAGCTTTTTCATAGGTAAGTATGTACTGGAAAGAATGTAGTGTTTGTAAACTTTGGCACTGTCCTCAGTCCCAGGCCTGAGAGTCTCAGAACAGATCCCCCGAGAGAAGAAAGGAGTACAAATACTGTGTCCAGCACAATGCCTGGCACATGTGCAAGTTGACCAAGGAGCACAGTGTCCCCACCACCCTCCCCTTCTCGTCCCTATCTAGTGCCCCCAAGGAAGATAAGTCATCAATGCAACAAAAAGATTTAAATCTACTGTCAAATGCACGGTGCAAGGTAGATAAGGGTTGCCTCCTCCAGCCTGGAAGGAAGAGATGGCAGGGCCAGCCTGGAGAAAGAGGGTACACTCAGAGCTAGCCGGTGTCACATCCTCTTCTCAGGCACAGGACAAGACCAGCTCTTTCAGTCTCTGTCTCTAAGCTCCCCATTGTCACCAGACACCAGAGGAAGGAAATGAAGCGGAGTCACACGTGAGCTCATAAGAGGCCTGGCACTCCAGCAGCCCTCTGACATCCCCCAGACCCCTGTGAAGGGTGAGGTTTCCCCTGCAATTTGCCTCCAGGTCACAGGATTATGAAGCAGCAGGGCCCTTCGGGCTCCGAGTCCAGTGCATCCTTGGCACTGTGATCTGATCAGCACTGACAGCGCCCTGGCCCAGGTGTGAATGGGGCAGAGGGTGTTCAGAAGCAGACACGTGGAAATTTTAAGGAGACTGCATTGTGTCTTGGAACCTGAAAATGGCCTAAACGGTGCAGCCACTTATAGCCTGTCGGGGGCCCTGGAGGTGACCCAACCAAAGGAGCCATAAACCGTCTGGAAAGGGGGGGCCTCACTAGTTAAACTCAGAGGGCTTCCGGGGACCTGCAGGGTTCAGCTTCAGATTTATACAGCCCCAGCTTTGAGATTCGGGGAAGCTGGTTTGATTCTGATTCTCTGCTTTCCTTATCTGTTGGGAAGGAACAAAACCCTCCACCTCGTGAAGACGGTGGCTTCAACCATCCTGGTGCTGGCACTGACTCTTTGGTATTGATCCTGTACCACTAAGCAGGGGCTGGGCCTCACAGTGGCCAGGGTCCACCCATCTTGCTCTCAAGGGCCTATAATCTTGATGACTTAGTACTCCTACATTCAGAGACAGGAACCTGTGGGGGGGTCCTCCTTAAGGAAGGTGTGTGGGGATGGGCAGAGCAAACTGTGGGGAAGGGCAGGGAAAGTGTCCCAAGCAGCCGTGTCCTCCAGGCTGCGGGAGAAAGAAGGAGCTAGGTTCAGTGGAGGACCAGAGGTGGGACTGGCGGGCAGAAGGTGGGCTGTGGCTGCTTTGTCAAAGGATTCCGTCTCGGTTCTAAGAAACACAGAGGTGTTTTTTGATATGGTCAGAGTCCGTTTTAAGAAGGTCTGGCTCCAGTGAGGAGAATGATGAGAGCCCAAGTGAGCCCTGACACCCGTAGGACCCTGATTAATGGCAGCCCATGTGGCCTTAAGGACACGCAGGGGGGAGGGGAGGGAGGACTCGCAGGGAGCAGAGGCAGAATGACTGCCTCCTCCTTCTGTTACCTTTTGGTCACAGAGCCACGCAGGGTAAAAGAATAATCTTTTCTGTGGCTGACAGGTGTGGGGTGCTGGGGTGTGGGGTGCAGCCCTTGGGGGTGGAGCACACATGGAGCTGAGCTCAGTGCTGTGGTCCACTCTCTCCTCCCCGGCCCAGGGCCACAGGATGTCCCTCCTCCCTTCAGCCTCCTGGCCACGGAGGGTCTGTGGAAGCCAGGCAGCTTCCCCGAATTGTAGTAATAGTGATCCCTATTACACCGGGAGCCTCTGACACAAGGAGCAAGGGGCTAGGAAGCCTACTGGTATCAGCAAAGCGGGATGGGGGCTCCAGGCAGGGCTGGAGGCTGTTGTGGCCGGCTGGGCTCTGCCATGTGCAGCGGACAAGGATGGGGAATAAAGAGGCTTATTTCAGCACCCTGTTATTACAGCATCTTGTTTCTATAGTTTGTTCAACAAACCTCTCTCCCCCGCCCTCCTCCCCCCTGGCCTCTCTTTTTTTCATCTTCCTCTCTCAGCAAATCCATTTAAATGCAATTCTATTCTTAAAGCGCCCCTCTCATGCATGTCTAATGAATGTCAGGGAGATGCTATTACAATGGGGCCGAGGAGGGTCCAATCGGCAGTGTGTGTACAAGTCATTTGAAAGGAAGCCTGGGAGTGCTCCAGTTTCATTACAGCATAATTAGAAATAAAATCTTGTTGCAATAGGCGAGTGAGAGATGTGTGCTAATCCTGTAGTGGAAGAAGATAGAGCTGTATTTAGAGTAAAGGATTCAGAGGAAAAGAGGAAACTAGCCAAGACCCCCACCCCCCACCCAAGTCTTCTGCTTCTCCTCCCTGAGGTCCTCAATCTTTACAGCCCTTGGGACCTCCATCTTCCTGGGCGCAGCTCCAGGGCCCTCTGCCGAACAGTTTCCCTAAGCAGTCAGTCTGCCGGGGCCTCGGGGCATCCAAGCCAGCTCCCTCCCAGCAGGTCCACAGCTACCTACAGACCACTCCTGGGGAGTGCAGGGCAGAGGTGTGGGAGAGCCTGAATTTGGAGGCTGAAACCCAGGTCCAGTTCTAAGCTTCCAGTTTGCCAAAGTTTTACATTCATTAGTTTGTCAAATACTGTAACTTGATTGCCTGTTATGTGCCTGACACTGTGCAAGGTACATTCATTAACTCACTTAATTCTAACAGAAAGTGGGTTTGGAGAGGTTCAGTGACTTGCCTGGCACTATCCAGCTAGAAATGGAAATGCAACTAGAATGTAACTGACTGGCTCTTTCTGCTCCACCATGCTGCAAGCATCCTGGGTCTTCCTGAGTCCCTGACACCCAAATCTCGGAGTGGCCCTGTGATCTGCTGCAGAGCCAAGAGATGAGGAGGTAGGACTTAGCTAATCCCTCAGGCAGGGAAGAAAGGGGGCCTGGGTGGTGACAGCGCAGTTCCAGCAGGCAGGCCACTGACACCTGTAGGATGAGGAAGGGTGCTGTCGGTGCTGCTCCTGTGCACAGCGCCCCCTCAGATCTCCAGCTGGGATGTGGAAAAGGGGAGAAGTCCCCACCCTTATCCAGCCACCTGGAGGTAGCGCATAGAATCACAGAGAGAGTGAGGCTTGAGAGCTGTATTTAAGAGCAACCCATTCATTTCATCATTTAGGGAAACTGAGGCTCAGGTGGCTACTGAGCCAGGTTTCTCACTTGCCTACCCAGTGCACTCAACTCTACCATGCCTGCCTCCACGCAGGTTCTTCCAGAGGAGCAGTTGTCTTGGGTGACATTTCCCAGCCGTGGGACTGCAGCAAAGCCTCAATCTTTCTTAGAAACCGTGTTGGGGGGGCACTTGAGTTGCCCTGATGCATGAGTACAAGACCAACCAAGTTCCAGAGCACGGCCAGAGGACTTGATTCAACAGGGAACAAGGCAGCTCTGTCCCAGCAATGAGGCCCCAGCCTTGTGGGAGAAACTGGGTGTGAGTCAGACCCCTCGAGGGCTAGCAATGTCGGCAACAGCAACGCTCTAACCCCGTGTCAGCTTAGCGCAATCGCAGGCCCTCTCTCCACAGAGGTGGAAGTGAAGGAAGAAGAGGACTGCGGGGTCCCCCACCTTTGGGGAGCACATGGTGGTACCCTCAGAGCCCTGGCAGGCTGGGCTTGGCCCCAGCTGACTTTATGTGCATAAGATGAATATGAGGCCATGTTACATATCTAAGTGCCCAGGAGCCTGTGCTAAAGCAGGTAGATAAACCTGCCGCCTGCTGCCTGTCATGCAGACATTCTCCTACTGCAGAGCCCCCCGCCCCAACTCCCTTTACTCAGCTCCTTTCCAGCTCCAGCTCAGTTTCTGGCCATGCACCCCAACCCCATAGGCTTGCACAGTAGAAGACCCCTTCCCTGACCTGTGCAGTTTCCTCCTGGCCTAAGTGTACCCTCTGATTCCACTTCCTTCAGGCAAGGATAATGGGCCAGCCGACGGGAGGCCTTTCTTGACATCTCCACACAGACTGAGACCAGCTGTATGATTCTGTGCCTCAGTTTCCCCAGTGGAGTGTGAAGTGGTGAGACTTGAGGCTGTGAGAGTGCAGATGAGGCCCGCTGCACACCACCTTCTGGAGCATTGCCTGTCACACTGTCCTGCGTGCTCCGACTCCCAGCCCATGGTGCCCACTGGAAGGACTCAGCCTAAGTCCTCCCCGATCCTTCTGTCTCTCTCGCTTTCTGACCCCAGCGGGTGTGCTGCGTCTCGGGGGTCCTCAGGAGCCACTCCCTCTGCCCCCTTCCCTGCCCATCAGAGCAGGCCTGATACCACAGCAATCTGGATAAGGTAGCGCTCAGCTCAGATTGCGCTAACACAATCTCACACTAGGGACCCGAAAAGCTTATTTCTCACTGTTTTGGAGACTGGGAGTCCAAGATCAAGGGCTGGCAGGGTGGGATCGCCTGAGGTTGAAGACGTCCCCTTCTCACTGTGTCCCCCGTGGCCTCTGCTCGGGTATGCACATCTCTACTGTCTCTTCTCTTCTTATGGCACTAATCATATGGGCCAGGGCCTCAACCCAGTCACCTCAGTCAACCTTCATTGGCTCTTTACAGTCTCCATCTCCACACACTGGGGTTGGGGCTCCGACGTGTGCATTTAGGAGAGGGAGCTAAGTCATCACAACAAAGAGACCTAAGGCTTAAGGCCAGCCAGGGCAGCATGGAGACTTGAATCCAAGTTCCCCACTCACACCCGGGGTTCCTTCCACTCAGCAGCAAGTCTTTGTCTGACACTGCTTCTGGGATTCACAACCCTGGAGTCCAGAGTTAGAAGAGAAGAGGCAGGAGAATGCGCTATGACTTCCCCTGGGCTTTCAAGCCTCAACTAGAAGGTACCCCAGGGGCCTCGCTATCAACAGAAACAGCAGAAGGGAAAGAAAGGAAGGCGCCCCGCGGAGCATGCCTGAGCTAGCTCCCTGCAGGCTGCCTTGGTGAAGCCCTCAGACACAGGCTAATTCCTGGCACCAGGAAGTGTTGACCAACCTCACCAGCCCTGCCCCACCCCACAAATAGCTTTCAAGGCAACAAGGGTCCTGAGTGTGGGGGTGAGTTATTTCTATCCACAAACTATCCACAGGTCCAAGCTTCGGATTGAGCACATTGTTTTGTAAGT